TACGTCTAGTTTATAATGCTTTTACTAAATTTCATGCAAAATTGGTTTGATTGGCTAGTTTACGTCTAGTTTATAATGCTTTTACTAAATTTCATGCAAAAATGATTTTGCGGTCAAAAGATGAAACATGTGCATATTGAAGTCATGAATAGAATAAATTGAAGTCCTATGATGGATTACTTTAAGTTTGGAACAAAACAGTGTCCAAAAAACCAGATATTTGTGAAGGAAACGTTATAAATACATCCAAGACTTGTGGGAAAACACATGCTTATCATTGGCGCGTAGAAGTCTGAAGAACCCCAAAAGTTATAACAGAAACTTATGTGAATAATGCCTTTATGAATGACATCTTATAGGAAGAAGTTTCCTGCAATACACAATTTATGTAAAAGGCTAAATTACTTTCTGCGTGGTGATATTATAACGTCAAATTAACGTGGTAAAATAATGTTGTGACTTAAATTTTACATCACAAATATTTTTTAATAATTAAATAAAATTTTAAATAGTGAAATGTTTTAATCTTTTTATAAATATTGCGTCGTGTTAAACACCTTGTAACATTTATTTCCAAATAAATCAAACAATTCGATAGACATTGCACGTGATGGGAGATTAGAATTTTAAAAAAATTAAGTTGTGACATGAAAATCACGTTACAACTAACTTTTTAGAAAATTCAAACATAACGTGAGAATCTTTTCAGCATAAACCGATAGCTTGGTCAGATTAATATGACCGTTGTGTCAGATCAACGTTATCGACGTGAAATTCATATCGTAAGGTAACAATTACTTTTTGATTGCCACGTGAGTTACACGTCGCTGAGTTGTGACGTAATTTCCACAACGCATGCATTAATATATATCTTGTAATTTCGTTCTCACGCACACAAAACTTCCTGTACTCTTAACTCAGTCTCATTTTGTTTCTCTCATTTTCTTCTTCAGTCTCATTCTCAGATTTTTTTCTTCGTCTTCAACTCATTCTCGTATTTTCTCATCTCCATACTTACTCTTCAGAATATATATATATATATATATATATATATATATATATATATATATATATATATATATATATATATATATATATATAATTTTAAAAAGAATAAACATAATATATATTAAATAGTTATAGAAAAAGAAGTAGAATATATATATTAAGTAGTATATATCATTTTTCCAAATTTAATATAGTGTTAAATATATTATTAAATTTATTTAATATTTTACAAAATATAAAATATATTAAACAGAATATATTAAGTAATAAATATTTTTATTTATTTATTAAGTATTATTTTTATATAAGTAAGTAAATTGTTTTTAAGAATATATTTATTAAGTAATATTTTTATATAAGTAAGAATATATATATATATATATATATATATATATATATATATATATATATATATATATATATATATATATATATATATATATATATATATATATATATATATATATTTATTAAGTAATATTTTTATATAAGTAAGAATATATATATATATATATATATATATATATATATATATATATATATATATATATATATATATATATATATATATATATATATATATATATATATATATATATATATATATATATATATATATATATATATATATATATATATATATATATATATATATATATATATATATATATATATATATATATATATATATATATAAGTAGGAAAATAAAATTAGAGTAAGGATATATTTTTTAAAATAACTATTATTAAGTAATAAATTTTTTAAATAAGTATATATTTTTTAAATAAGTATTATATAGTAAGTAAGTAGATTTTTTTAATAAAATGTTTTAAGTATGTATTATATAATAAGTAAGTAAATATATTTGTTAACTAATAATATTATATAAGTAAGTATATATATTTTTAAGATAAGTAAGTTATTGAGTAAGTATATATTTTTTAAATGATAAATACAATTTGAGAAATTGTATATATTTTAAAGTAAATAATATTAAACAATTAAAATTATTATTAAGTAAGTAAATATTATTTGGTAATAATACTTTTATTTAAGTAAATATATCTATTATTAAGTATAGTTATGAAATATAGTATTTATATGAAGTATATATAGTTATGAAATGTTTAATCTGACTACGCATATATAGTGTGAAATATAGTTGTTTAAAACAATGTGAAAAAAATTACATTATTTTGTATATATTAAAGTCACATTTTTAATTAAAATGATAATGATTGTACAAATGTGCAATATTGAAATTTGAAGACTTTGATAGGGAAGAGTTGTCGAATGAGGAAGCGTAAAGATTTTATCAATTGTTGAAAGAAATTAAGATGTCGTTGTTTGAGGGGTCGCCAGACTCAAAATTATCAATGTGTGTGAGATTATTGACCGCCAAGTCAAATTAGAATGTTCCTGATTAGTGTTTGGAATTCTTCACAAAAATTATGACGACTCCTACGAAAGACAACATGCCTACAAGTTTTATGATGCAAAGAGGTTGGTGTCGAAGTTGGGTTTAGAAGTAAGAAAGATTGATTATTGCATTTGAGGTTGCATGTTGTTTTATGACAATGAGTTTGGTATTAATGATGGAGCTTTGGAGGAATGTAAATTATGTAAGAGTCCAAGATATAAAGTTCGTATTAAAGCCATTGATCGTAAGCAAAAATGTTTAGTAGTGAAGCCCATGTTTTATCTTTCGAAAATACCAAGGTTAAAAATAATGTTTGCTTCAATGCACAGTACAAGTCAAATGACATGGCATCATACAAACAAAACAAGTTCTGGCATTATGCGACATCCATCTGATGGCGAGGCATGGAAGCACGTTGATCCGATACATCTAGATTTTGCTGCAGAACATAGAAATGCCAGGCTTGAATTATGCTCTAATGGTTTTACTCCTTATGTCCAAGCGCAAGGAAGTGGATATTCTTGTTGGCCAATTATTGTAACCCCTTACAACCTCCCTCCTGAGATGTGCATGACAATACCATACATATTTTTAACTTGCCTCATTCCATGGTCGTCGAGTCCAAAAGCTGAAATTGATGTGTACTTATAATCTTTAATTGATGATTTGAAGAAGTTATGGATTGGATAATGGACTTATGATATATCCTGTAAACAAAACTTTACTTTGCGGGTTGCCTTGATGTAGACTATTAACGAATTTTCCGCATATGCTATGTTGTCTGGTTAGACTACACATGGAAAAACGGGTTGTCCGCATTACATGGAATACATCAAGGTGTTTACGTTGGAAAAAAGGAGGGAAAGTTTGTGGTTTGATTGTCACTACATATTCTTACCAGGACATCATGTCTTTAGAAGAAACAAGAATGATTTAAAAAAAAACGAGTGAGTAACAGATATGCCTCACCATTGATTGTTACCTGGTGAAGTATGAAACCGAGTTTGTGAATTGCCAAAATTCACAGATAATGGTAAAGCATGCAAAATTCAAGGATATGGGGTCACACGCAATTGGAAAAAAAGAAGTATATTTTGGGATCTCCCATATTGGAAATATAATTTGTTGCGACATAATCTTGATGTTATGCATATCAAGAAGAATTTTTTTGATAATGTATTTGACACGGTGATGGATGTTCAAGGAAAAACAAAAGATAATGAGAAGACTATACAAGACATAGAAATTTGGTGGAATCAGAAAGAGTTGGAGTTAAAGCCTCAATCGAATAGGAAATTATTAAAACCCAAGGCTACTTAAGTTTAACTTCTCATGAAGCTAAAGCGGCTTGTCGATGGTTACATTAATTGAGAATACCTGATGGTTATGCTTCAAACTTAGAAAGGTGTGCCGACCCTAACATTAGGAAGTTGCATGGAATAAAAAGTCATGATTGTCATATTTTCATGGAATGATTACTTTCAATTGCGTTTGGTTCACTACCCAAACATGTGTTTAATCCACTAAGTGAAATTACTCAATTTTTTAGAGATATTTGTGCTTCAACTTTAAGAGTTGACGACATTATTAAGTTGAACTAAAGTATTCCAGTCATCCTCTGTAAGTTGGAACAAGTATTTCCGCTTAGGTTTTTTGACTCTATGGAACATCTATCTGTGCATCTTGCATATGAAGCTTATCTTGGAGGCCCTGTCCAATATAGGTGGATGTATCCATTTGAAAGGTTCACATGTGATTCAAAGTGATCGGTGAAAGATAGAGCTAAAGTTGAAGGATCAATATGTGGACATTACTTATATTGTAAAACATCACATTTTTGCAATCATTATTTCAATCACTTGATGTTAAATTCAAGAATCATAAGGAATTCAATAAATATTAACGAAGAAGTCAATTTACCTTATTAGTCTTCGGTCTTCCAGGTCGTCCATCTGGAAAGAAGAATGTGCATGGCTGACCCAAAAAATGCAATATGCGCATATTCATGTCTTGATTAACTACACTGAAGTTAAACCATATCTTGAGTCAGTATACCCCAACTACCTATTTACATTTTGAATATAAAACTTATTAAATTCAAAATTATAGTGTTTTTCTTTTTAGGGCATTTAACACCTCCTATTTTTGTAGCACCAGTGGACAAGCAAGTACCAGCCACATTCATACGTATTTTCCAGCATTGTTGCATCGACTCAAGAAATAATCCATTTGAGAAACTTGTCTGAAGGACCTATTCAAAGCTCAAATGAATGGTACACATACTTTGTGAACGGATATAAATTTTACGCTAAGACATGGAATGGAGGGAAAAAAACTATAAACAGCGGTGTGTTTGTAAAAGGAGTTACAGATGGTGGTGAAGACGAATTCTATGGGATTATTACACATATCTACTAGTTGGTATACAATTACTAGGAATTAGAAAATAAAGTTGTCTTGTTTTACTATAATTGGTATGATCCGTCTGACAGAGGCACAAAAATAGATAAGAAATATAATACTGTTGAGATTCTAATGGACAGAAGGTACAAAGAGTGTGACCCTTTCACAATGTCACATATTGTTAGGCAAGTTTATTACGTTCCTTATCCTTCAATTGTGCCATGTAAACGAGGATGGTGTGTTGTAATCAAAACAAAACCATTGGGTCATATTGAAACTGACAAAATAGTGGAAGACATTGGTTACCAAGTTGATGAAATTTCTCAAATTAATGATGTGATTGAAGTTGAACGAATGACAAGTTTGTGTGATACAATGGTTGAGGGTCATCAAGTTGATGCATCTATATTGTTGGAAGAAAATAATGTGGACGGAGAGAATGACGAGTTTGGATATGAGGATAATATCATATCAGATGATGAGAATGATATGGATGAAGAGCATGAAGAGTCTGAATAGATCATTTTTGAAATTTTACTTAATGGTAGAAAATAATGTGTAATTTTACTTAATGAATAGGTCGTGTTTTGTTGATTTATTAATTGTGTTGATGAATTAGTTGTACATGTTGTGATAATTTATTATATGTGTATTCTCTCAAAATAGATGAAATGCCACCCGAACTGATACGTGTTAGGGTGAGGTCCTGCATCAGCGCCAGCGCCTTCACCATAGAGTCAGGTAGATCCCATGTCTATGACTAGTTCTCAACCTCTTATGTCATTATTTTCCCCTAATAACCATCCTATGTTCCCATCTGGGACCCCAACTTTCATTAGCCAATCTAGGGGATCTAGCTTTCCATTCCAACAGACTAGTGGATCTAGCTTTCCATACCAGTAGACTAGGGTTTTTAGCTTTCCATACCCTTATCATCCCTCACACACACCCTCACCATCCATGCAGCATATGGGATCTCGCACCCCACATCCCGCACACCTGACTTCACCATCCATGCAGCCTGAGGGACCTCGCACCCCACATTCCTCATACATACCTGCAACATCCATGCAGCCTGGGTATCCCACACCCCACATCCCACACACACACACACACACACCTGCACCATCCATGCAGCATAGGGGATCTCACACCCCACATTCTACACGTATACCTTCATCATCCATGCAGCCTAGGGGGGCCCTCCCCTCACCTACCACACACATGCCCTCACTATCCATGCATTATGGAGGGACCTTGCACCTCACCTACCACACACATACATGTGCATGAGGAGGATGATGAGGGGGTGGATGAGGACGATCACGGGGGGCAGGATGAAGATGATCAGCAGTGGTAGGATCACGCCGCACATTCGAGTGAGTATGAGATTATTGATGGAAGATACTATATTTGGCCCAGTGGAAAATCGTAAGTATCAAATTTATAAAATTTTAATTTAAGTAAACATGTTACCTTTTTTAGATTTAATAATACTTATTCAATTTGTTATTGTTTAGTTTTGAGCTGAGTCGGATTGCTGCCCAATGTATAAGTTATGTTATTCAACAAATGTATAAAATATCTTGGAAGAGACTTCGAGAACTTTCCAAGAGTAATAAAGATGATTGGTTTAACAAACTTAAGGTATAATGAATTTATTTTAAGTTTTTGTTATTTTAATTACTTTTTTTAATTATAATTATCTAACAATTATACTTTAATGTCTTAAAACATTGTCGGAAAATTGAATTTGGGAAACAATTGACGAGGCTAGGATTCTAAAAAATTGGCGAGGCAGAACATCAGTCTGACTTTCTAGAAGTCGTTAGGATGAGCAAGTACTTGTCCTAACTAGATAGGCAAGGAATTTTTTGGATGGACGTCTTGTCTATTAGAATTCACCTCGTTTTTATGCAAGATTTGAAAAATGCAAAGAAAATGAGAGCATCTGAAAGGGGGGGTCACCTCAATGCAATTGAAAGCATTAGTGTCGCCGAACATGATGTCCGCAAGGTAATTATAACTACTTCTTTAAGTTATATTTTGATTTACTATATATTTTTAATTATAATTAATTTTATTAATTAGTCTAAGGAATTGAGGAGATGTCCACTAATGAATGAGCTGGTTGCAAAGACCCGTACCAAAAAATCAGGGGATTTTGTTGACAAACGTACTAGATTGGCTTTGGTAAGTTTTTTATATTGTATTATGTTATTTAAATTAATTTATGTATATGAATAAATTGTTTAAAATTTTTTAATATCTAATGGAAAAGTTGTGGCATGATTTTTATGTGACAACTAATTTAATGTTTGTGCCGTAAAAATTATGTGGCTATATTTTATTATTTAATTTTTTAGTTTAATTTTTTTTGTATGTGCAGAAGGACTATGATACATTGCTCGCATAATTTTTAGTTCAAAATCTCAGTATACTCCGATAGGTTCAAACTCGATTGATGATCATGTGGGTCTTTATATTTGAAAGGAAAAATATAATTTTTGATCCCTTAACTATACCTCGGGGTTCATTTTGGTCCCTTAACTTTTAAAAGGTCCATATTGGTCCCTAAACTCTTCAAAACGTTCTAAATTTGTCATTTTTGTCTAATTAGCGACGAATTTAGCGACCAATATTTGAAATTTACGGTTGTTAATAGGACAAAAAGGATTTAAATGGAACATTTTGAAGAGTTAAGGGACCAAAATGAATCTCGAGGTATGATTAAGAGACCGAAAAGGGTATTTTGCCTATTTGGAATTTAGTAATTTGCGATAAAGGACCTAAAAAATGTTTATTTGGTGCTAGATCTTTGACCGGGAACTTCATTGAAGGAGGGTGACCGGTAAATTAGCAAGTGTACTAATTATACCGATGTAGTAATAATTGGGGTTTTTCCAGTATCGATCTCTGAGGACTGCGTGTAAACTTTTAGGTACATATATTATTTCAATCAAACAAAATAACCTTGGGGTTTTGTTTGGGGTTTTTACAGGAAAAGAGCAGAATGAAAAAATTATATCACGATTAAGAGAAAACATGCTAGGGGAAGTGTATGGATTGCTTAGTACGAACCCTGGAGTAAATCCATGAGACATGTCACAAAACCTTAATTTTTATTGCACCTCAAAAGTATTTTTCTTAAATTCCTTAACTGAAAAACCTTTGATATTCTTTCTTGACCCTAATTTCTTAGCAGTCAAGGAAAGACATCAAGCAATAGTCCTGACAAAGGCTTTTTACAATCATTACGGGATATCCCTATTCCTATGCAATATTTACTGTAATGTGTTATACAAAATAATCGATCGGTTTTTCAGGCCAAATACCTAATCGTAAATTGTTCCCAATTTGTACGATCTTAAAAAGTTAAATGATTTGCATAACAAAAATATTAAGAAATGAAACAAAATCTCATTAAGAAATGCAACAGAGGTTCATTACAACACAATTCAGAGACATCCCCTAGCAATGGGGGGTTTAGCTATTCATAGTATTCAATAAAAACAACATAGAAAATAGAAACATTACAAGGTTTTGGAAATAAAGTTGATCTTCAATTTCTTCCGATCATGAAAATCTCCTCGTCTTCCCAATTCTCTAGAGCTTCCAAATTTCCGTTATATTTTCTTTGTACGATCCAAGTCCCCCTCTCTCTTTCCAAAACACGTCTTAATCAGTCTCAGGTCCAACCCAGCAATAGGAAAATACTCAAAATACCCTCAGGGATCACAAATGCCCAAAATCCAAGAAAAATAGAAGACAAAGCGTTTTAGCCAACACAGGTCGTGTCAGCTGACACGGGCGGCCGTGTTGGCTTCCTGTTATATTGCACGAGCATTATTTCAGCTCCAGGTGTGCTGACACGGGCGGCCGTGTCAGCTCCCTGGTTTTATCTTATTTTGCATCTTCTAAGCACTTCCTGACACGGGCGGCCGTGTCAGACTACTGGTTCACTTCAAAACTCTTCCAAATTCTTGCTGTTTTACTCGGTTTTTGCTCCGATTCTTCTCTATTGCTTACCTGAACCTGGAAACAGTGAAAATACCAAACCAACGCGTAAAATGCAATAAAAACAAATAAAATGCAATAGTCCTGACAAAGGCTTTTTACAATCATTACGGGATATCCCTATTCCTATGCAATATTTACTGTAATGTGTTATACAAAATAGTCGATCGGTTTTTCAGGCCAAATCCCTAATCGTAAATCGTTCCCAATTTGTATGATCTTAAAAAGTTAAACGATTTACATAACAAAAATATTAAGAAATGAAACAAAATCTCATTAAGAAATGCAACAGAGGTTCATTACAACACAATTCAGGGACATCCCCTAGCAACTGGGGGTTTAGCTATTCATAGTATTCAATAAAAACAACATAGAAAATACAAACATTACAAGGTTTAGGAAATAAAGTTGATCTTCAATTTCTTCCGATCATGAAAATCTCCCCGTCTTCCCAATTCTCCAGAGCTTCCAAATTTACGTTATATTTTCTTTGTACGATCCATGTCCCCCTCTCTCTTTCCAAAATACGTCTTAATCAGTCTCAGGTCCAACCCAGCAATAGGAAAATACCCAAAATACCCTCAGGGATCACAAATGCCCAAAATCCAAGAAAAATAGAAGATGGAGCGTTTTAGCCAACACAGGTCGTGTCAGCTGACACGGGCGGCCGTGTTGGCTTCCTGTTATATTGCACGAGCATTATTTCAGCTCCAGGTGTGCTGACAAGGGCGACCGTGTTAGCTCCCTGGTTTTATCATATTTTGCATCTTCTGAGCACTTCCTGACACGGGTGGCCGTGTCAGACTATTGGTTCACTTCAAAACTCTTCCAAATTCTTGCTGTTTTACTTGGTTTTTGCTCCGATTCTTCTCTATTGCTAACCTGAACCTAGAAACAGTGAAAATACCAAACCGACGCGTAAAATGCAATAAAAACAAATAAAATGCGATGAGACCTATCAAATGATTTACTAAAACTAATGGTAAAATAATGTAAAAAAAACCAGTGATCAAACTCCCCCAAACTTAAACCATTTCTTGACCTCAAGCAACCAACTTGGATAAATAATTTTCAGATCAAACAACACATCAAATGAAGGACTTATGAATGTAAGGTGTGTCGACACTCATACGTGAATCTATGTTCCGATCGGCTAAAACTAGTTTTCTTGGTAATTGTTCGTTAACAAAGGTATCCCACAAACACACACCGCGATAAAACCACAGACCTAAGTCCCTCTTTTGGCCACCTCTCCAACTATGCTTTGGGCTTAAGTCTTTTCTTCGACTTTCTACCCCCTTCATTTGGATAATCAAATTAAGGCACTTTTGATCGCTTTCCTTCACATGTACAAATTTTGATCGAGACTTTTTTCGTGGCACCTTTATTTTTCTCGCTCATTGGAGTTTGTTAGTCCCCTTTGGGACGACTATAGAGACTCAACCTCCATTAGGCTAAGTAACCGGGTGAGGGTTACCCAACTTAGAAGGGCTAGTTGTCTT